ACACACAGACACACACACACACACACACACACACACACACACAAGAAGAAGTGAACGAATCCGATTAGGCGCTGGTATAAACTTCCGAAAAAAACACCTAACAACCCCAAAAAGCGACCGGTAATTGTACGGGGTGCACTCTTGTTTAATTTGCCATAACCTGTCTAATACGGCGACAATGGTTCCAGCGAGACCGCTTTAAAGTACTGGATTTGTGACAGCTCTGCTTAATTCTATGAGGCTAATTAGCTTCGTTAACTCCGCAAGGGCCACAAAGCGTCAGCACAAGGTCAAAGTAAGGGAGGGCGAAAAAACTATCACTGTCTGATGTAGCGGCGCTTGACACGGAGAGAGAGAGAGAGAGAGAGAGAGAGAGAGAGAGAGAGAGAGAGAGAGAGAGAGGGGAGAGCGGGAGAAAGTTAAACCTGCGGTCGTTAAAGCGAGGGCGTTCGTTTTATTTGATGCAGTAATGTTTTATTTTTTAAAATATCCAGTCGCAAGTTATTTACACAGCTCGCGAGCGGGGGCGAAAGCTGTGGCCAATAAATAGAATGCAATAAAATGAAAGAAAAAAACCAACAAATTCCCTAAATAAATACGATAAAAAAGACAGGTTTCCTCGTGCATGCTCTCTCGTGCAATTCAGGAGTAATAACGAAAAAGAAGTAAGTTTAAAACGCTAGAAAAGTTAGGGCGGTTATTTTTGCTTCACCTTCAAATGTTATGATTCTATTTCAGAATTACATGTCTAATGTCTGCAAGGGCAACTTTCAATTCTTATCCGATCCGATTTCCTTTTTCCTAACAGATGAGTTGAAGAAATATAACACTCATCTTAAGCACTGCGCACACTTAACAAACGCGTGCCTTTCCAGCTTTATTAATATTGCTGTCATTAGTGCATGATGGCATTTATGTACTTGGGAATGCCCGCGCGTTGTGTGTGTGTGTATGTGTGTGTGTGTGTGAGTGTGTGTGTGTGAGTGTGCATGTGTGGGGGAAAGACAGAAAGAGAGAGAGAGAGAGCAAGAGAAAGAGAGAGATAAAGAGAGAGAAAGAGAGAGAATGAGAGAGAATGAGAAGGGAGAGAAAAAAATAGAAAGAAAGGGATGGAAAGGGTGAGAGATGGAGAGGGGGTTGAGAGG